TTCAAAAGCAGCTAAGAACATTCCCATTTATACACCTTTTTAGCCATCTAAAACTTGAAGTAACATTTCCATTTCACATTTCATTGGATAATGTTAGGACATTTTGTGTTCTTTTGTTTAGTAGGGGTATGTGTATGTGGGTTTTATGCTGATACTTTTGATTCAGGTTAAGGGTTGTGTTTTCATAGAATTTGAGATGACTATCATATAGCAGTGAACAGTAATTTAAACTGTTTTATTGTTGAGTACTTACTTGATGCCAATTCCTGTAACACTGGAGCATCTTTGAGATCTGTCATGCAGGTTTCCTTGGGTATCATTGCCTGTGGAAAAGATCAGTGTGATTTCAGGAGCCATCTGGAAACTTAACAGACTCTTTGATTGGTACTTAGCATTCTGTAGGTAGCAAGAAGGAATAATTTTGCAAGACATTCAGATTCAGATATGAGATGTATCTTTTGCAGAGAAACACCAGGCATCATTATTTTAAACTTTTCAGTCTATTAAATCTCCTTTTCCAAAGTTTCTGAATTAGCATTAATTTTTCATTGATTTTTTTTTTTTAATATTTAACAAAAAGAAGTGTGTGCTTGTTTTACAGTTGAGACATTCTTAGTTTACAACTGTATGTCTCTGTGTAGTGTTGGAGGAGCATTGTCCAGATACTGGTTTTACTTCTTTTCCATATCATGGTACTTGACTTTATTGTATTAAGAGTCCTGTATTTGAGTAAGCCATGAGTTAGAAAAGAAAGTTGCTGTTTACCTCACAGATTTCGTAGTTCATTGGTTTCCTGAGCATGTTCCTTTATTAATTTTATCTTAAAATCTATCTATAGGGGCAATGACTTGCTTTATTTAAAAAAGGCAAATGAGACATGCTAGATGGATTCTTTTGAGAGATACTTCTTTTGTAGTATTGAGAGGTTTTGAAGAAAATTTTGCTTCATTAGTAACTTGTGTATCATTCTCTTTTTGCACCAAAGGTAAAGGTAAATGAAGCAGAAGAAAAGTACAAAGAAATACAAGAGAAATTGTTAACAATAAATGAAGAAGCACAAGCCCTGCATCCTCAGTGTATTTCTTTGAAGGCTGATGTTCAGACAAGAAGAAAAGCAGTAAATGAAGCTGAGGTAGAGAAAAAGAACTTTCAAAGTTCATAGTAATTTAAAGCTTGTCCATGCTCTACCCTATGTACTTCTCCATCTGTATGTAGGTTTCCTGAACCTATACTACAATTCAAAATAGGTGCAATTTCCTGCCTCACTTGAAAATAGTTTCTGTTGGGGGACTGTGGGATTTATATCTTTACAAAGGTGTTAAGCAGTGTTAAGCTTAGGTCAAAAAAATATTATTCAAGTCAACTGTTATTTTTTTGTCACATTCTTGAAATTCAAATTATGTTTGTCTGTTCTGATGTAGATTAGTGTTTATTTACTCAAAACTATATTTCTTTTTGAAATTATTTCTTGCTTCTGTTTATTAAACTACTGTATCCTATTTCCTTCATAGGTACTTTTTAATCGTTTCAGAAATGAGTTAAAACATCTGGGAAAAGATGATGAGCAGCTACGTACACAAATTGAAGAACTGAAAAGCAGGTAAATACAGATACAGTGGTTACAGTGTGTTTCTTAGTTTAAGTATGCAGGGAGTGAGCTCTTCTGATTAATGTGAAAATAAGCAGTGACAGAAAATATGTCATTAAACTTTATCAGGGTCCAGTTAAATATTTAAATATTTTTGATCCTACTTCTTTGCATACCAAGATTTTGACTAGAATGTGATGAGGTAATTGGGCAGAAGAAAAGCTTTTCTTTTTTGTTGGTGATAATACACAATTTCTAGCTTTCATGGTGTTGCAAAACAAATATACCTTAATTTAAATGCAATAGGAACGTAATTGGGGAGAGTTAAGTGTGATTGCAAATAAAAAACACATTAGTATATATGCTTTGTAGATCTTGTAAATGCACAAAATCTTAAATATAACTTTCGCATGCATAAATCTTTTGTATATACAGGTAATAAAGTTTGTGTCAGTGTGGTTTTAAGTATTAAGGTATGATCTTTTCTAGAGCTAATCAGGTTTCGGAGACTGAAAAATTGGAAAGACAAGGGAAAATCTCATGCTTAAGGGGACAGTTAAAGGCATTCCATGATGAAGAAATAATGATTGGTCAACAGGTGGATCAGTTTCATGAGGCTATATCTAAGTGTAAGGAAGAACATACTAGACTTAGGTAAGTTATGCTTTTTGAATGTAACTATTTTGCTTTGTTTCAAGTTATAAGAGGTCCCTTCTGATGTACCTCCAGTCCCTGAGGTATTAGGCTTCAGTTTGGGTTTTTTTTCATAGTTTGTCTTAGGACTTGCTAAACTTCTGTCTTTAGCACAACATGACTTAATTTAGAAACTTTTGGAAAATTAAGAAAACCAGTTTATTTTTAAAGAGGAAGATATAACTAATTTAAAGCCTGATATAAATCCATACTGTTGGTTTAATGCCCTTTTTTCTTACTCTCACCATTTGTCCCTTATTTTCATATCATCCAGTAGGCAGACTGATTTAAATTTTTTCATGTTGTCTAATACACTACTACATCCTGATATTATGTCACAAGCTATATAACACCATATAAGGAAATAGATACACTTAGGGTTAATTATTGTATCTATAGTTAAAGGCAAATTTATAGAGACTTTGAAGCAAGTACTTCAAATATCAATTTAGCCCATACCTGGCTAGAAAAACAAAGGCAGTGTTTGGCTTTGATTTGTAAACTGAATGTGAACAATGATTACCAGAGGGTGTTGTGGTAATGATGTCATTTATTGCGTTAAGAGATGTGAGAATTGTTGGTTATTGTACTTGATTTGTTAGTTTAAAAATCTTTTATCAATTATTGTAGCCAACAGTTACTTTGTGTTCTGTTGAAGACCTTTGTAGAAGACAGTGAAATTGAATCATATAATTAGGTATAAAATAAAATTGTTATAAATTACTGGAAACAAAGTCTTGTAAAACTCTTGCAAAGCAGTAATTTTCTTGCTTTTTTGGTCTCATTTCTTAAAACTATAAAAATATTGTTGCGTGTGTGTAGCTAGTTGTGCATTGAAGTATTGAGGTCTTGATACACTGTCCTATTAGTACTTGAAAACTGAGACTTTATAATTACTTTAATCAAATCAAAGCTTCATAAGCTGTTGCTACTAAAAGTTGTGTTCTTTTAGGAGAGAAGACTGCGATACAAAACAAACATTGAATGCAAAGGAGAAACAGCTGAGAGACCTGAAAGATAGTAGAACAAATACCTTGAAAAGATTTGGGTCATACATACCAGCATTCCTTGAAGCAGTTGAAACAGCCTATAGGCAAGGGCGCTTTAAACACAAACCTATTGGTCCTTTAGGTAAGAATGACTGCTGAAAAAGATGTATTTCCTTATGGGATTTATTACATAGCTGCTAATATAAACAGTGATCTCTTAGAAAAACTATTTGTTCTTTAAGGAGCTTCAGATATATCTTTCTTCTATACTTCCAGGACTAAAGGTTTTAACCTGGTAGGTTATCTTTTGCTTCTGTCCTTTTTTATCACATGAACTATTTAACATCTACTGTTTTTTATAATTTTCCAACTGTTTTTGCTAAGATATTTTATGTAGTTAAAACAGTTAACTTTCAACGTAACCCTCTGATTCCTCCAAAGACTACTGTGCTTTTGCTGCTTGTCCCTTGGTGGATAGCATGTTCCAGCTCTTGATCAAACTTTGTTCAAAATGTCCAGTGGATCACTTGTGGGTTTGTCAAACTTGAGGTGTTTCACCATGGAGCAACTCTAGACTGATTGAGATTTTCTTGTAAAATTTGGTTTCATTAGTTTTTTGACTGGCTCTGACAGTGACTGCTATTTTCAGGTTGTGAATAGGACTAGTGGCTTCAGCATACTCTGCATCTAAGTGTAAAGGCCACATACTTCAGTACTTGGCATTTACTGCAGAGTAGGAACTTGTAACATACGTACTACTGAAGACAGGTGATAAAACGGAAAAATCATAAATGGTTTGGGTTGGGAGGGACCTTAAAGATCATCTAGTTCCAACCCGCCTGCCATGGGCAGGGACACCTTCCACTAGACCATTTTACTCAAAGCCCCGTCCAACCTGGCCTGGAACACTGCCAGGGAGGGGGCAGCCACAGATTCTCTGGGCAACCTGTTCCAGTGTCTCACCACCCTCACAGTACAGAATTTCTTCCTTATATCTAATCTAAATCGACTCTCAGTTTAAAACTGTTACCCCTTGCCTACTCTACTTGCTGATAAAGAGTCCCTCCCCATCTTTCCTATAGCCCCCTTCAAGTACTGGAATGCTACTGTAAGGTCTCCCCAGAACCTTCTTTTCTCTAGGCTGAACAACCCCAACTCTCTCAGCCTCTCCTCATACAGGAGGTGCTCCAGCTCTCTGATCATCCTCGTGGCCTCCTCTGGACTTGTTCCAACAGGCCTATGTCCATTTTATGTTGGGAGTCCAAAAGCTGGACACAGTATTCCAAGTTGGGTCTCATGAGAGTGGAGTAGTGGGGCAGAACCACCTTCCTTGACCTGCTGGCCATGCTTCTCTTGATGCAGCCCAGGATACAGTTTGCTTTCTGGGCCGCAAGCACACATTGCTGGCTCATAGTCAGGTTTCCATCCCCTACTACCTCCTAGTTCTTTGCCACAGAGCTGCTCTCAATCCACTCATCACCCAGACTGTATTTGTGCTTGGGATTGCTTGACTCATGTGCAGGACCTTGCACTGTGCCATGCTGAACTTCCTGAGGTTTGCACAGGCCCACCTCTCCAGCCTGTCAAGGTTTCTCTGGGTGGCACATCCTTTCCCTCCCGCATGTTGACTACACCACACAACTTGGTGTCGTTGGCAACTTGCTGGGGGTGCGCTTGATCCCACTGTCCATGTCACCAACAAACATGTTAAACAGCGCTGGTCCCAACACCAGCCCCTGAGGAATGGCACTCGTCACTGCTCTGCATATAAGGAGACTGGTCTCCATATGGCCGCCATATTTGTCAGGGATGATTTGCCCTTAGTGAAGCCATGCCGGGTGTCACCAGTCACCTCCTTATTTTCCATGTGCCCTAGCATAGTTTCCAGGAGGATCTGCTCCATGATCTTGCCAGGCACAGAGCTGAGTGACTGACCTGTAGTTCCCCAGGTTGTCCTTTTTTCCAGTTTCAAAAGGGGGTTATGTGTCCCTTCTTCTAGTCAGCGGGAACTTTGCCTGACTGCTATGACTTTTCAAATATGATGGATAGTGGCTTAGCCACCTCATCTGCCAGTTCCTTCAGGATTCCTGCATGCATCTCTTTGGGTTCCATGGACTTGTGCACCTTTAGATTCCTTAGATGTTCTCGAACCTGATCTTCTCTTACAGTGGGTGGTTCTTCATTATCTGAGACTTGGCCTTTGTCTTCTGTTGCTTGGTATGCTTGCTGGTGAAGACTGAGGCAAAAAAGTCATTGAGCACCTCAGCCTTCTCCATATCCTCGGTTACCAGGTCTCCCATATCCTTCTGGGAGGGCCTATTTTTTCCCTAGTCTTCCTTTTTTCATTAATGTACCTATAGAAGATTTTCTTGTTGCCCTTGACATCCTTGTCTGGATTTAATTCTATCAGAGCTTCGGCCTTCCTAACCTGATCCCTGGCTGCTTGGACAGTTTCTCTGTATTTCTCCTCAGATCTTCATGTTTGTTTAACTTGCAGCATATATGTTCCTCTGCCTTCACCCTTAAAGCATTAAATCTTGGCCTCGGTATACTCCTGCTAAGCTGCCAAGAAATTGTTACCTTAATGGTAGTAGTGACCTCTCAAATATCTTAAAAGAAAATGTAGGCCTCCAAATGTGTATAGGTGTGTCTGTAGGAAGAGAAATTGTATGTCTTTTTTCTCAGGCTAGTTTGTTGTGGAGTTTTTCATCTTTTAGTTAACTACTTTTTTCCTTATTGTAAGAAAGATTTATTTTAGACTCGTAAAAACTCTCATAACACAGGAAAACAAAAACCTTGAGTGGTAGAAATGCACTACTGGATGTTTTGTTATGGAACACAGCTCCTAAAGCCTTGTTTCTTGTGTTTATTTAGGTGCTTTCATTCATCCAAAAGATGCTGAACTGACTTTGGCTGTTGAATGTTGTTTAAAGAACCTAGTCCAGGCATTTTGCTGTGATAATCATAGTGATGAAAGAACCCTTCAGCTGATGATGTCAAAATATTATCCACGTGAATATAGACCTCAAGTAATAGTAAATAAATTTCAGAAAGATGTTTATGATGTTAGACACAGGTAAGTTATATCGTGAATTTTATTCTTTTAACCTTGATGGTTCGAAGTATTATCAGTTGAAAAGAACTATTTGTCTTTTTTTTAAAAAAAAAAAAAATATCCTGTGAGGTTTATGAATGGTGTTTTTTCTTGTTTTCTTCAGAGGAGTTCATCATCCAGAATTCCCGTCAGTTCTCACAGCACTGGAAATAGATCATGCAGTGGTTGCCAATTGTTTGATCGATGTGAGGGGTATAGAAAAAATCCTGCTGATTAAAGTAAGTCTTTACAATCCTTGTTCCTCAAAGAAAAGTGTTTTCTCTTTGTATGGAACATATATGATACCTTCACTGATAGTGTCTGTGATGGACAGAAGAGATATTTTGGGGGGTTTTATATTGCTCCTCTGAGAAAAGGTGAGCACCCTGATGGCTCAGTAGACACCGACTGTATCAATTATCAGTACACACGCACATACTTAGCCACTGGAGGGCTCCCACTAAAGCCATTGTGGCATTCAGTAAAACGTCAGTATCCCACTTCACATGCTATTTTCTATCATGGGCAAGACAGAGTGGATTTAGGTACTGGGATTTATTTAAGAATTGGCAAGATTAGAGCTTTTATTTGCACATGCTTGTTTCCCTGTGTACCCCCCTGCTCACCCCCCCAACACTACCTTCAGAGGTCTCAACTTCTGTCCCCATCAGGGAGATCACTGCTAGTCAGGGAAGGTCAGGCAGGAAATCTTAACAGTTCCTGCTGTGCAGCTGCTCACAGATACCTGTTTGGGTTGTTACTAGGCAAGGTACCTGGGTGTTTCCTGGGATTTGTCACTACAGATCTCTCCCCATGTGTTTCCAGGATCTTCCCTATTTGTTTCTGAGATGTTCACCAGCACCTTTATGGGCCTCCACATGAACTTCTTTCTCAGTCTAAATAGTCCATGTGCATGTAACCAACCTCATAACTGCTGTCTCTGTCTCATGTCTCTTAATTAATGGGTTCAGGTTGTGTCAGTTTTGTGTAGTCCAGGTATTACCAAAATGTGCAACTAGCCCCTATCAGTTGTACCTAGTAGCTGGTAGCTAGGTACCTGTTGTAGTTGTAGCAGGCTTGTGATTGAGAGTTCAAAAGTTCCCCTTTGGATATTCAGCCATCCATTCTTACATTAAATTTTCAGTCACTTACTAGCATTTACAGCCTAATTTATCTTTCATCTACCACAACAAGCAGAGCCCCCTTGGACTCTGCAGTGTTAAAGCACTTGAGATGGACGAGTGCAAAGAAATGTGGTTGTGGGTAGAGTCTAGTAAAATAAAAAAATAGCAATAATCAGTTAAGTAGGATTTAGTTGAGGGGACTAGCAACTGGTGTTGAATTAAGTTTATGTATTAGTTTGATAATTTAGCTTTTGATCACCATAACATGTTAATGAACTGTTTTCTGCCACTATATGATTTTTGATCTTAATTGATTTTAGATTTTTCTGTTAACTATTGAAGATACCAGCTCTGGCATGTAAGATTACAGGTAGAATGTTCAAAGATAAAAATAAGATATATATATTTTTATTTAAAGAAAGTATTCTATAAGTAGC